AAGACGAGACGTTATACTATATATTGCCTTAGTAAAATATTCAATATTTATTGCTTTATTAAATTTTAAAAACTGTGATCAGAACTTTTGGTATACCCTAAGTAACTATTTAATTTGATTGAATTATATTAAATGGATTAATTTTGAAATGTAGCAAACAACTACATTGATCATATGTTTCGCTAGAACCTTTTTTTGATACCATTAATAAATGTTTCGTTATTCGAAAATATCTTGATACCAATTCATCTTAATTAATAACACCATCTATCATGTCAAAATTTAATTGGTTGATTTTGAAAAATGAATGAACAGATATGAGACTTGCTTGGAAGAAAAAAGAAAAATTTCGTGCTATTTCACATTGAAATTTACATAATGAATATAGATTAAATAAAGAAAATTTTATTTTAGATGTCGGATTCAATTGATGATATAAAAGTATTTTTTTCAACAACAAAAGCATTAAAATCAAAAGGAAAAGTAATTAATATTAATTCTTATTCTATATTTTCAACTGTTTTTCTCATATTCGTTAGGATTTTTTTCAACTTTATAAACAAATAACAGATTATAAAAAAACAAATAAACAACGATCTGAAAAACTTAATGAACCTATTATTAAATTTATTCAACATTCATGTGAATTAGCCAGGTTGAATTTTTCATTGTCTTTCATTTGATTCTAGAACAATTAATAAAAACAATTTTTTTTTATCAATTTAGTAATCCAGAATATAGTTCAATCTGGCAATCCCTCGTTGATGTTACATCAGATATTGTCAATTCATATGGTTCATTACATTCCGGTACTGATCCACATACTTTCGATATTTTTTTCAAACCATTACTTCAGGTAAAATCATTATGCTGAAAAAATTTATTTGCATCGTCAGATACATCTTCAATATATAACTTCGTTTTTCCTAATGATAATATATACGATCACCGCCTTAGCCTGCCATACACATTACTTTAATCGTTCAGTAAGCTTCCAGGCGAACAATCTTTTTTCGTTCTTTAATGATTATAATATACTTTCGGGAAAAGTTCCCTAATAAGCTATGAATATACTGAAAAGACTTTGGGCTCTTAACTTATTACTGCTGAGATACTTTATTTTTGCAGTATGTTTTAGTAAATGTCGTGGCTTCCTTCACGAATATTATGAAAACTCATATTCGAATTCCGACTTAAAAGATTCAGATATTTTGGTTATTACTCTCCTAAGATACAGCTATAATAAAAGCTTTCCTAAGAGGAACTACGACATTAACTAAAAATTACTGTAACCCTAAAGCGATTAGTCAGTTGGAAAAATTCTCTTGTAAGATTGATCTTATAATTCTACGAGAGTAGATCTTTGTGTAATGAAATTCTGTCATTAAAATAAGATGGTTCATTATTGAAGTGTAATTTTTTTTATAGGAAATTGATGTTGAAGAACATTCCGATCTGTATAAATTTATCGAACGTGTTCTTGCTAAAATAAATCTTGGCTTCAAAATAGCAACAAGCGAAGTTAGTTACTTTCAAGATTATTGATTTATTTAGTTTTTTTCTTTTGTTAAATTTTTAGTATTTTCGTAAATTATTTCTTGATGCATTTGCTTCGAATGTTAAACGAAAATTAAAAGAAAGTTATGATTTATTCCGTATTATTCATGTACATATTCCTGAAATAATTTCACCGATTTTTACAATGCATCAAGCTTTTTTAAAAGTAAATATTGATTTAATCAAATATTTGAATAAAAAAAAAACATGACTAATTTTTATTTTCATTTATTTTTAGAATCCAAATCCAGATCAAAGAGAAATTGGTATTCGTTTTTTAGTTAATGTTCTTATTGGAACATATACGATTAAAGAAGAATTACATAGAGATGTTCTCGATGATTTCCGTAAAAGGTAAATTGTCTTCTCTCAGAAACAGACTCAATTTTATTAAATCATCTTCTTGAAAAATAAAATGATATATGCAGTCGAGATGGTAGATTTTTTATTTCAGGAGTAACTTTAAATTATAGGCACTTTAATTACTGCAATCTCTTAACCAATTTTATGTGAAAATTTATTAAAAAGAAACATTAGAAAAATGTGTAATATATAATTCAATACCCTTGTGTTTCTTCGATTAGCAATGAAAACTATAACTAGAGGTGTAACTCGATCGGCTGACAAGGAAATCTCTCCCGACCGATTTATATAATTCTTTGTATATAACTACTGCATAGTATTCCAGTAAAAAAAACTCTCAAAGGACTTTATATTATCCAATACACTTCGAAGAGCGTCAATTTTTAAATAGCTTAAAGCTCGGAGAGACAGACGGAATTTACCAACTCTTCCGTAGAAGCTAGTGTATGTTAGACCTACAAAGAAAGGTAGTTTCAACGCAATTTCAAAAGTACATATTTCCAAGAAGAATTCTATTAGAGTGAATGAATAAGGATTATTTTATGTCCATATAATACTGTAATTCATTTCTAAACTAGCAAAACAATGTTGAATCCTTTTTTTGTGCGTAAGATTAAAGCATTAATATTATATATATATATATATATATTTATTTTTTAGTTTTCATGAAAAAGATTCTGAATCTCAACGAATTGTTATTGAAAACATTTCAAAATATCTATTACGAAAAACTTACATAACCAATATTCTCATCGGTAAAATTAAAAGAAAAATAAATGTTTTTTTTTTTAAATAAGATTTATTTAGACGATTTAAAAAAATGTTTTGATTCTCACATGATATCTTCTCCACTTTTAAATGTTCTTGTTGATCAAATTAGTTTAGCAATCAAAGAATGTTATCATGCAGCACCAAATTCTCTTCTTGATTTACTTTTAACTGGATGCAATCATTCAATAGTAAGAATAAAAAAAAAATAAAATATTAGATACTTGATTTGAAAAAAATAAATAAATAAATTTTTAGCCATCTGTGGCAATAACTTGTGTTGAAACAATAGCTTATCTTTATCGTCTTTATTATGTTAAAGATCCATATCCATCACCAACCCGTTCACGTCTTGATATTGTACCAAGAATTGTTCTTCATACAGCTATTAAACATCCTGATTTAATTGTTCGGTAAAGTTTAAGTAATAAAAAGAATAGGTATTTTATATTTCTGTTTTTTGGGTCTTTATAGTATTGAATCACAAACAACATTTTTTGAAAATATTATTTTTGAACATTATCGTATTGACGAGCGAACTCGTCAATTTTTTATTTTTGCACAATCCGATTTAGATGATGAGGGTGTTAAGTAAATAATTTAATATCTATTCTTGTTTTTTTTTCTTTCTTTTTAATCAATTTAATTTTGTTTAGAAATTTTGGCCAATTACTTCATATTCAATCTGAGTATGTTTAATATAGAAAAATATATATATAGAGAGAGATATTTAAAATAATTTGTGTTATTTAGATTACGAACACTTTTACATAAAGCATTAGTTAAATGTTGTACAACAAGTGAAAAAAGTCTTAATAAAATGAGTACAAGTGATCATGAAGAAGATATAACACCTGATCTTGAAGAATTAGATAGTGAAAATGATGATGAACATTCAACATTAACTCAAATCTTACAAAAAATTAGTGAATGTAATTGAATTCATGTTTTTTTATTTATGAGAGAAATTCTCCAACTGATAAATCGCTTTTGAATCAAGACTATATTACATTGTATTCCGAAATAAGAACATTCACAACAGGAATATTTTCGTCTTTATGAAGTTTCAAGTCGAAATTTGAAAATCAATTTCTGAGCTTGCAGCAAATGAAAAGTAAATAAATATCTTATTTAAAAACTTTCCAATCATCCTTTATTTTCGCAACAATAAGCTGAGAATGCGAACTCTAATCAAGATATTCGTAATTGATTTATATCAACATAATGCATATAGTCTTGACTGACAAGCGATTTATTAGTTGAAGAAGTTCTCTCATTAGTAAGATTTTTTTATAATGAATTTAATTGTTTAGTATGTTTTACTCCAAAAGAACATGGTGTACGAAAATTACGACAATGGATTATAAAATCGGAACCAAAAGCAAGAGAACAATTACACTCGATTTCATCTTTAACAATGGATCAATCAACATTAGTTGATACAACATTGTCTAAAACAGTTAGTTTCTATATGATGTTTTCAATCTATAATATTCGTTAGAGAAGCATAAGTCCTAGAAAATGATTTTAATATTTTCTTATTAGAAAGCTTGAGCTCTTATTTTGGCTTCTGCTTCCTTGAATTATTTTGCTGAATATAACTACAGTCAAGACCGAATCTAAACATTCGAGTTCGGTGCATGCATACGAAGTATAGCAGAGTTACAAGAAGAAAAAAATGAATATTTTTAAAACTCGTATAAAGTTATTAAGACTTTTCTGATGATTTTTTCAAAAGATCTGGCAATATTATCTCATTAAATATTTTCCAAGAAAATGTCAATCGAAGGTTTTAGATATTTGTCAAAATGTAAAAGGTTCGGATCTTGAATAAATCACATCGAGAAATCGTCTACCATAAGTCTTATATGAAATCTAAAAAGAGAACTCATCTGACTGATATACTCTCTTTGAATTCATAGGCAGGACTCATAGTATGGGTTTTTCGTGAGTAATAGAAACAAATAAAAAGGTTTTTAAAAATCTGTATAATATTAAAAATAATATATTAGAATACTTGACTTCAACTCTTCAATTTAGACAATTGATATGGATGATTCAACAGCAACAATTAATGAAGCTATTCAACTTGTTGAAGATCGTTTAGCTAGTCGTGTATCGATTGTTTTTTCACATGATTTTCTTCAAGAATTTCCATCATGTGCGCAAGCTTATTTCAATGAAGGTATGAATATATGGAGCACTTCAAGCTAAATGGAACATAAACCATTTTTCTCAATAAGTTCTCTAAGCATAGACATGTGTAACGATGTTGACCTCGAGATACAACGTGTTTTAATTTTACAAAGTCATTTCATTTTCGAATGATTTTGCCTATGTATAACGATGATATATAGATTTAATTATGATTTGTTTAGAAGCAATATTAGATGAACAAACTGATGATGATAATGACGACGACGGCAGCGATGATGATGATGATGATGATGATGATTCTTCATTAAAATCAGCAGAAAAGCGATCACAAAATGAACAACGTCAACATCGTTGTATTAAACAAATGGGAAAATTAACAAAAGTAAATTTATTTATTTGTTTAATTTTATATATATATATATAATTAATTGATTTAATCAAGGTTCTTCGACCATATCTTGAAAGTTCAACGGATGTTGAAATTTTAGAAAAATTTATTGAAATTATTGATGAAACTCGACCAATACTTAGTAAGTTTCGATTCAATTAGTTTATTTAAATGTACATTATATTTTTAGGTACGTTTGTTTTTGGTATCTTAGCTGAATTTGGTGCACTTCTTGGTCCAGGTCAAATAAAAACTGCACTTATTGAGTGAGTTATATTGCATTTATAAATTTATATTAAATAAGTTTCTTTGTTTCAAACTCATAGTCGTCTTGTCGATGTTCTTGTTGATGCAATTAATAAAGGTGATAGAACAACAATGGGTAAATGGGCCATGCGTGCACTTGTACCCATTGTTGGTTCAAATGAACAACAATTAGAACAAATCATTACACATAATCTATTCGGCAAAGTAAATATATAGTTTTTAGTTACTTGTAAAAGTATGAATTTTACATCGAATAGTTAAAAATCAAAAAGAAAAATGTCAATCTCAAGCGTCAGAACTTATTCAAATCTGTCGCAGCTTTTTGTTTGTATTACATTAGTCTCTCATACGGATTACATGAATTTCGGTCCGGGTTCACATTCCTCTTCATACTATATCACCCTTGATATTGTTGATTTCTAACGAGGACATGTTTTCAATTGAACAATCGCCTTTGAATTCGGACTCCGCCCGTAAGTTTAGACTCTAGTGAAATATGAAAAACCTCAACAGGATAAGTCTTCGCAGATCTTTAGTCCAGACTTATAGATATTTTACTGGAGTCTTTGGACAGGTCTATTTGTCAGTGGAACATCTTGAAAATCTTAGATCGAAATACCACTATTCGATTCATTAGTATATATAATATGTATATCATGTCTGAGGCTAAGGTTCTATTAAAATATCTATAACTCTGGATAGAAGATCTAAGGCGGATTTATCCATTGAAGTTTTCCCATATCTCACGGGAGTCTATCTTATGCACGGAGTCCAAATTCAAAAAGCGATTAATCAGTAGCAGGCTGTCGAAAAGTACTTGCTAATGACACAATGCTGACGAGGGAACGTTTTCAACAGACCAATCGCTTTTTTATCGAAAGCTAGTAGATTGTACGTTACTGATCATGTTAGTTTTCCAGGCTAACAAACATTTCACTCGAAAACTTTTTTGATCTGCTCAGATTGCCTAGAAACCAGTAGCGATTTTTTTTTGCAGAAACTAGCAACCAATTTAATTTATACAACAGATACATATCAACGTTTTACTGTGAAAATCTTCGCCATGATATTATTTTACTTAAAACTCATATTTAGAAAACAAAAAATTATTGATTTAGAAGCAACTTGATAGGCTTTATAATTTGAACATATCAGAAAAGTTTGGTAGTCTGGAAAACCAACATATAAAGACTTAAGAGAACTGCTCATGATATTCGATCTAGGTCAATATTCTCACCTTCTTCTCATAGAATTGTTATTTTGATAATTTATAGACATCTGAATAAATTTTTAGACAAAAACTTCATGGTGGTCAACAGATGGTTTAGCATCCTCTCATCGTTGGTTATTACTTAGTCATATTGTTAAATATGCACCATCAACACGAACAATGTTTAATATTCTTCAACAAATAATCAAAGTGATTTTACGTCATTTTTCAAATGTAAAATTTAAAAAAAAAATTTTTTTCTTTGAAAAATTTATTTGCAAAAAATCTTTAGACTAAAAATTCAAACGAACTAATGAAATCTTTTGATGAAGTTACTAATGATATTCAAATGAGAGTAAGAAAACAACAACAAAAAAACTTTACTGATAGATTTTTATTTATTTTTTTCTTGAATAATTATCTAGGCTAATCAATTAAAATTTCTTTCACGTTCAGCAAATTGTATTCATGTCCAGCGGCATGGAAAATCTCTTATTGATGATGATGATGATGAAGATGCTGATGATGAAGATCGTGTTGATACAATTAATTTAGTTATGAAATTTTTACTTAAATTACTTAAAGATGTTTTTATATTTCCTAATAATGAGTTAGTTAATATAATTTAAAAAATTTTAAAATTAATTAATTTTTTTTCTTTTTCTCTTCATTAAGAATTGGTCGACATTATTTACAATTACAAGCATCTATTGAAGTACTTCGTATGTTAGAAATTCCAGAAATTTTTCATAGTTTTGTACCAAATGATTATGTTGAATTATTTTCTGCTGCAACGGTAATATTGTTTTTTAGAAAAAAACTAAACTAAATTTGACACTGAACCTTTCTTTTTTCAGCATCAAAATGCTCATGTTCGTCATAGATTTCTTCAACGTATTTTAAATAAAGTAGCACAATGGAAATTATCAGTTTTATTTCTCGGTTTTACTATTGCTGTACCAAATGATGATGAAGATTTAATAACAGGAAAAAATCTTAAATCAGTTATGGAACGTTTATATTTATTAGCTTCAAAAGGATCAGGTAAATATTATGAAATAAAAGATACTTTTCATTCGATCATGAGACTTTTATCAACTACTACTGTATGTACTTCCAAACGAATGTTTCTTCATATATATATGTCGTTATAGATCAATGACTAAACTATAGAATGTAAAGTATCATTTTATTTAATTTAGTTGAAACAATGCAACGATTATTACCAGAAAAAAGTATATCATTAATGGTTTATTTACATGCTAATAATCGAAGTCTTATTGTTGAAATTGATCGTGAAGTTCTTGAATCAATAACGAAGTAAATTTCATGTTTTTTCTTTTATTAAATTTCTATTGATTTATTTATGATAATTAATAGTTCTGTTAAATGGAGTTTACGTACAATGTTACAAGCACGTGAAAAAACAAATAAACGATTTCATGGTGCTATACCAAAATTACTTCATTCAATAAAACATAGCCGTTCAAAAGCTGATCCACTTGATGATAATCTGCATCATGTATGAAAATTTTAAATAAAAATAATATTTTTTAAATTTTTCTTTAATTTAGCGTATCTATTTAATTGTTGATATATTTCAAGTAACATTTGCTGATTTATCACCACTTGAAGCTTATGATTTTGCTGATATACGTAATAATTTATCTGGTGAACCACTTCTGTTTACTCAACCAAATTTTGTATGTTAAAATTTATTTTTGTAAATTTTTTTCGAAATATCATTTATTTTTCATAGACAAATTTAAATACAAAATCTTATTTACCGGATTTTTATAAAGAGAAAAAAGTAACAAAACGTTCAAAAAAAAATGAATCTATGCTATCAGATGAAGATAATACAGATAATGAAACAGAATTTAGTGAAATGGCTATAACAACAACACCAATAGCAGCTGATGATGAAGATGATGATAAAGATTTAAAAAAGAAAAAGAAAAATTTACCAAATAAAAAACGACAACGTTCACGTGCTATTGAACCACCATCAAGTTCAAGTGAAACAATCGATGATGAAGAAGAACAAATACAACAAGAAGAAAAAGAAAATGAAAAAAAAAGGTTTTTTATTTTTATTTCAAAAATTTATTATTTCAAACTTCAATATGTGTTGTTTTTTTTTTTTTTGTATTCTTAGCCGAAAACGAAAAGTTTCATCGTCAACTCGGTAGGTATTCAATGTTATCTTATGAAAAATACTAAAAATCTGTAGGGTAACGACAAGAGTCAGAAAGTTTTTCTTAGTGCAGAATACAGAGTACGAAAAAATTGTACTCTGCACATCTGCAAATTTCTCGTACTTATTTTATTTTTACCAACAATAAAAACCAAATTGTTATCTAGAAAGATCTTATGTCAAGAGTTATTCATAGACACCATAAAATCTTAATCAACTCAAGTTTTTACAGGCTAGTAGATCATAAATCAATTACTTGAGATCTGCTTACGAGAGAGCATCGTCAAGTGGTAAATCATTTTTGAAACTCATTAGGATAACGTTAAAATGGCTATACAAACAAGAGAAAAGATCCATGAATACGAATCCTTTTTAGGTTTTCTATTGTGTCAATAATGGTTATGCGATGAGGTTAGATTCATTTCGAGAGCGATTAATCCCTTGGTGAAGTTCTCTCGTTAGTAATAAAGTTTCAACATATAGTGATAATGTTTGATAAATATACACGTCGACAGGCTAGACTGTCAACATTTGCTTATGATTAAGAGATGACAATGACTTTTACATGTAATTGAGTGATATTTAGGTATTTAATCTTTAACCATTGCAGCTATTTTTCTTATCTTCGAAATTAGATTGAAAATCTTTTTTCGACCGCCTACGTACAACTTGACTGATAGACGGACTTTTGAATATCACTTTATGAAAGCATAGGAATTCAACAAATGCGGTTTATATAGAAATTGACTTCTTAAATGAGATTAAGAGGAAAGTAACGTACAATAGTCGTGAAAAGTTCTGATACCAATGAAAAACTACGTAAACTTGAATTTTGATCGCAAAGGTCAATCAGGATACTTGATCAGCCTTCATGTGGAGGAGTTTGAAGGTCATCATAGAAATTTTTCTTCAGACAAGGATATTTCAGCATAGGAAACAAACCACATGGTGTTTATATTGAAGTAATCTTTGAGTAATCTTAACTGTTCGCCTTGAGTTTTTCTTCCATAAGAGCTCTCTTCTAATCAACTTTCTCTTGAAAATTTCACGATTTTAATCATCAACAGCAAGGAGATTTGTACTGAAGCTATTCGAGACAATTGAATGGAGTATTCTATTTGTAACACAATATGGTCATGTGAAGCTTTTTTTGTTAATAAGAAAATAGATGATAATGTGTCGAAAAATATTTTTCTTCTAAATCCATTGCATTAAGACCGATCTATCTTTGGTTGATGACTACTTCTAGGCAATATATCAGATAAAAGAATTGATATTGATATACTTTTTACCTTGTGGCAGGACTTTCTATACTGTCTGTGCATGTCCTTCCTGTCGGACTTATGATTTCAATAAAAAAATTTATTAAAGTCATTTAACGATACACCATCGTTTTTGACTGATTGTGGTTCTCGACAAAGGTTGAAACCAATCAACCTAGAATCTGTATCATAGAGTTCTAGTTTTTCGTGGGACCATGTCTTAGTGCATTTCGATTTCCTAATATCATCAGTTTTTGCTCGATTATAAAAACGTGAACTGACTATAAATCCAAAAACATAGATCAAAAATGAAAGCTACTAATTTTACTTCTAGAGAATACTACCAAGTGTCCGTAGTAAAAATATCAGCCTGATCAGTTGTATAGTCTTAGAGGATTAGAAGTAGTCAAAAAAGAACGGAGAGTACCCTTAAGATCAACTAATATCTGTTTCAAAATATAAGGTGCTTCACTGTTTTAATTAACTTTTGATAAGAACATCATAGAGTTTTCTCTTGAAACTCTCGATTTCAGCCAACAGATCTGTGATCAACCAGAATAGCAATCAGGCAGAGCTATTTTACTGTGTTGAGTCAAATGATAGTATTTGTTTTTTAGTTTCAAAATGTTCTGACTTTGTTATCTCAATATTTGTGAAATTTAATAATGAGCCTCCATATAACGAAGAAGTCGATCTTGTGCAGATCGAAAGAAGAACATCTTCAGAATATTATTTTCGAAATACTTCGATAGCCTTGGGTATTCTCTCTTAAATGAATAAAACCGCAAGTCTCAATGACGTTCTTATCAAAAGTTATTCAAAAACAAGTACTGGGGCACATTATATATTGAAATGAATAGTAATACATAACAAATAATAATCAATTGTTTGTTAATTTTTTTTATTAAAATATTTATTGTTCATACCGATAATATAAATAAAATTTAAAAGAAATCACATGTCAACGAAAATTATGAACTTCAATATAATATCACTTTATTTGATGGTATGTTTAGATGATCTTAGATGGTATCTGTAAATAGAATTGATCCTAGACATGCTTTATAATAAATTGAAGTATCACTTCAATATTCACAGTTTATATCAAGAAAAATCATTCACATATGAATAAAATAAAATATTTATAAGGTCAAAATGAACATAAAATCAATCAAAAAATTTGTTCGACTTAATTTAGTCATTTTTATTATATCGTACATAGTTAGCAGTATACGAATCTTGTATAAATTAAATCGATAAAATAAGATTAACAAACGCAAAAGCAAAAGATTGAATTATGAGTTTAAAAAAAAAAAACTCTGTAATTATCAAAATCTACATGTTTTTTTTTTTCGGTTTATTAAATTTATCTCGGTATCTCCATGTCTCTTTTTCTTTTTGGTTTATATAAATAAGACTCTAAACTCAATGCAAAATTCCACACAATAAACATTTCTTTATTTGATATGAAATAAAAGTTTTTTTTAGAAAAAATAAATCATAGAAACTAAACGATTTGTTGCCGTCGGCGTTTTTCTATATATATATATGAACTGTGAATTAAAGTAATACTTGAAACTATGCTTACGATCGAGTCTATTTACTCATACCATTTAACATTGTCTAAATCCGACGTCAAATAAAGAAAAGCGCTATTCTATTCAAGTTCGCAATGTTCTCAAACATGTGATTTATTTATTTGTATTTATTTATTCATAGAAAACTTTACTTATACTATCGAAATAAATAATATAATAATTTTAATTATATACTTTAATATGAAAGCCATCAATCAAATGATTATTATCTATGATGTAGTTTGATCTCAAATAACTTCAACACGATATACATTCGCCTATTTATTATCTTATCAGCATTAGTGGCAATACTTTTAGCAACAAATATATAGAAAAAATGTTTGAAAAATAGGACATGAGAGGAAATATTGAAAACAACAAAATAGATGACTAAGAAGTCAGTTGATTGATCCAATAATGTTATGTTTTTTTTCTTCTCTATAATATAATATCGACCTTGAGTTCCGTTAATACGAAAGAAAAAAAAAATTTAATAGAATATATCATTCATTTATGGTTTCTTTTTAGTACAACAAAACGACTTTCAAAATGATACAAATTCCACTTGCACATAATCAATGTATATATATATCTTCTTTTTTTTTTTTGAAAAAACTAGTCAAGATATCACGGTGCTCTTATTGAACATTTTTCTTATATTTTTTTTTCTTGTCCGGTTAATCGTTGTTTATTTGTTTGTTTGTTGCTTATTATTTTTTCTTATTGAACAAAGATAAAGTTAAATAAATTTAAGAAAAATAAATACGATCTAAATTGAAATAGAATTGTTGATGACTATATATTGAACATACTGGAGAAGAGAAAAAAAATATATATAAAAGAACAATCTATCTGATTTATCAATCAATGAAGAGAACGGAAGAGCATCATTGCCTACTGGCTATACTGGTACATTGCATGACCGCTACCCGTAGGCTGTACTCGATTGAAAATGGTTCATTATTGACATGCATTTCTTTTTCTTCTTTTCTGATGCTTTAACTAAAATGCTTTTGTATGTCGAATTTAATACTATATATGTGCATGTTGATTCATGTGATTTTCATTTTTCTTTCTCATCTCACTTTATGGGATATGTTTGGAATGGATAAAACTTTCTTTTGTAAATTTATATTTATTTGTCTTGATTAAATAGTATTTAGTAATCACGATAAGAAGCTATTTTATTATACACTATAATATACTCGTTTTGCTTTTTTTCTTATTGTCATTGTCATGTACGTGATCTATCTCTTTTCTTTGCTTTGCGATTGCATGTCATCATCATCATCACATGCCACATACATCCATGCGGACAGACTGACTCATTATTTGAATGAATGTTAATCATTTTCATCTTGATCATCGCCGCAGGCGGTAGTCAGTTAGTTGGTAGAAGTGAAGCATTTTACACACATATACATATACATTTATTTAGATTTCTTCTTTTCTTTTTCTTTTTCTTTTCTTTTTTGTTCAAATGTATGGATGCTTAATCGTCATCGTCATCGTTTCTCCACCTGTGTGTTCATCCATATTGACGTAAGCGAGAAAAGAATACATTTAGTTGGCCATCATTGGTCTTAACTACTATATTTCCCTTCTTTCTTTTTTTACTGTATTGCATACGTCATATACACACAATATGATAAGATCAATTATAATGATGAACAACTCTCGTTTCTTTTTATATGTTCCTGTTAACAATAAGTAATCAAAAAAAAAAATCTATAATTGTAAAGGTATATTTAATTTAATAACTTGAGAATACTATTGATCAATAATAATCAGTTCAATACGATTTCTTTTTTTTTTTTTTTTTTTTTTTTTTTGTGCCATTTGATTAACTGAGAAATGATCATAGAATATTCTTTTAGATGACGAAAGACAACAACTCTCTCGAGTATAAAGAATAAGAAGAAGAAGAAAAAAACGAGAAAATAGAGAAATAGTAACAATTAACTTTGCATTTCTAGTGTGAACTTTCATCGATTCTCTTCTCTTTTTCTACTCTTTATGAACAGTATGTTGTGTTAGAAATACTCGTCTTGATCAGATTCAATTGTCAGACGGCAACGAATAGTTTACCCTGTCTTCTCCTGGTCTTTTCTTTTCTTTTTTTTTTTTTTTTTTTTTTGTTATTCTCCGTATGCAAA